GTCATTGCTATTCGCTCTTTACTCAAATGTTTTGATGTCTATCCATGTAGATGTAGCAGTTGTTTCGGGTACACTTCTCGCATTATTGCGGCTTGTGCTGATTTATAAAAAATCGGTTCACGTATTTTGCCTTAGTTTTCATTTATACAACAGCAAAACGGGTACAGACTCGTTTTCATGTGCTTTGAGTGCAATTCTTATACATACACTGCGCCATGTATGAAATCCTTCTTTTCCTATCCTTGTCAGAAAAAAATTCAATCACCATCGCCCATAACCCCAATATTTGCGTGCACATTCTATTGGCAGGCATTGCGCTACGGCGAGTCCTGCGCTCATTCGGATGGGCCACGTGGACTTTGTTGCGCCTGCGTTTGTCGGCGACGTCGGCATGGGCCAGGCCAAGGTAAGCATGATCTCATATTGCCATGAGTGAGATATACCATGCTCTTGCATCTTAGCTCTAGTTGTAAGTGTGTACATTGGTCATCGCTGACGTGTACACCTTGAATCTGAGATTCACAGTTCGCAATCAATGGTCACCACTAGAGTCCGGTGCTGTTTAGCTGTGGCTTCTATATTTGGCCTGCGCTGTTATTGCGTCTGGGTATGCCGCGTGCCGTAGCATGATAGTTTCAGGGCTGTGTTTGTGTAGATGTTGCACGTTCCGTGCAGTAGTCCGCTATAAGGATCACTGTGCGCGTGCATTGAAAGGTTTAGAGGAGCACAAATATCATCTTGTATCTGCTTTTATCGGATTGGCGTGTTGTGTTGTAGAATTTCATTCCCGTATGCTCATTCACTCATGAAAATGATCGAATAGAAGGAATATGTGATTACTTTGTGCTCAGTCTTCTCACGATATCGTGCACTTATGCACAGTTATTACATCCACTGGCCAATATACTTCATCAGTGATTCCATGCTTCTTTGGATCTTTCTGTGTTCCATCTTGTACTTCTCCTACAGGTTGTTTTCACATCGAAGCGCAGCGTGCTGGTGCTGGTACATGTATGGTCCGAAAACCCTCGCTCTGGAGAGGTCCGTCTGTGCAATCGGTAAGTGAATTTCCAAGCTACTATCCATCTGCCATCTTAAGTAATGGCACATCGAAGACGACGATATTAAGAGTAGGGACTTGTTGTGCTTTGTCGCTTTGTTGCTGTTAGGTTGATGACGAACACTTCTCCGTTCTAATATAGAGCGATGTAGCACCCAATTGCCGAGTTTGATTCGTCGTCAACGCTGCACGCGGTTAGTTCTCTGGATTAGTTGTGTGTATAGGCTATTGTCCGGATACTAGTGGTGCTACCCAGTACGGATGTAGAGGTGTGCTTTCCTCGGTCCCCGGGCAGAACATTTGATACCGTGTTTTACCTAGTCAGGTGCCATATGTTGCTGAGCTTCATAATCGACCAAGATTACAAATCTGTATATTGAAAGTGACATTTTACTCGTCCGCAGGCCACGTGGATGCTTTTCTGTCGAAGTACTTAGCAGTACGCGCATGCGATCCGCAATAGAGGATTTTAGGGTTTTAGGTTACAAGCACATCACGAATGTGTTCACTTCTGTGCAATGGCTCTTGACTGTGATGGTATTACATTACATTGCCCTTCGCGAACATCTCAACTAGAGCGCAATTCTTGCTTGTTTCGATCCTGAGATTGAATGGCATAGCTAGATTAAACGTATATATCGTGTCCCAGTCTCCTTCTTAGCTTTTGGGAGTGAATGATAGTGAATAGTGTTGAAATGCAATACTACCTGATAAAATCGATTGCCCAATCAACAAGATTATTTTGCCTTCACCTGTAGAGCCTTTGCTTGGTATGTTCCGTTAAAGTTGACGGGCGACGCAATCTTCGAGGTTCCTCAATTAAAAGTGGATCCAACCGACTCGTTGGCGGTATGGTGTTGGGTGTATAACTGTATCCCGACTACTTTACACCAATAGGTGTCTTGGCATGAGCCTCAGCGCGTTTGCACCTGTTGGTTGTTAGCTAAGTTGTAAGTCTGCCTTCGGCTATGCGTTTCGGCATGGAATGTTTGTATTTCTAGCTCATCTCCACCTTCTTGGCCTTGGACAGACCTGCCTGTGGGAATATGCGCACAGTTCATACACAAAGCGCAGAGTGAACGGTAACCCTTCCAGGGGAAGTTACCTTGCACCCAATCATCCTCTGGTTAGTAAGGTAGGCTTTACATGCGACACGTTATTACAATTGCTGCCAGCTGTGCTTGTATATGATGTTGGAAGTGTGTCTTTTTTGTTCGGGTTGCAGAGTTGGGTGTTATGCCTTTCTGCTTGAGCTACATATATGATAATATAGACCATTGTCTTGCACGACCGTATTAGTATGTAGTTCGAGAGACTACTTCGAAGATTTTCATCAAAATGCGCTTAACGCAGCCATTTCTTCGGATACACAGGTTTTGATCTCTGATGTCAATTCGAACTCCGCTATTTTTCGATATTTTACACCGCCCACAATTGGCTCAGCTCAGCTGTTTGACATTCCACCACCAGATACCTTTGGACGGAGAAGAGAAGACAAACGACGATGGGCACGATTTTATATTTCCTCTCTTACCAATGAAATGTCCGCCTGGCAACGAGGCAGCGCCAGATTACCGAACAGTGGAAGAAACTGAGGTATGCCTACGTACATCTGCAAACAGAACACACTTGAAAAGGCATGGTATATGGATATGCTTGAAAATCACTACAATGTTTCTGCGAGCAACCGTAAGATAGTCCACGAGGCAGTCACCGAGAATGAAGGGTTCTATCTCGATCAAGCGCTATCGTGCATTCGCATGCGATCTCGCACAAACGTCCGAGCACTTATTGTGCAGTATGTCCTTGCTGAATGTATAGGCTTATGCCCGATGCACTGTTTGGAAGGCACCTGACCTCTTATCTGCTGATCTGAGAGAAAACACGCCATTTTCCATCAACCAATAGTGTTTCACGTCGAAGTGTATATATAATACCCATGCAAGTCGTCGTATGTGCTAGTGTTTCCGTGTCACCTTCCAGTCCTGACGACATTTACACGCCATGGGTAGAGAAAGGACGCATACCATTCGCTGACACCTATTGTTTCTCGTCTGTTCAACTTAATTGTACTATATACGCACATGGCACCTCAATTTCGTGTAAGAGTCTAGCCGTATTTTGTTTCTTGTACATATATTGATTATATCATCACTATTTCTACACCAGGCTAACTTAGCTGCCCTCGTGCTACCAAGTGACATGCTCACCGGGGATTTCGGTATGAATTTGAGATTGTGTCTTCGGCATAACGCCTATATGTACCATCGCAGATGTGTGTATGTCAATGTTCAATATTACTTGTTTTTATTACGTGATTGCATTTGAATTCTGAAGCACCATCCTGTATGTCGCCTTAGGGTTAGATGCGCCAGTGTACCGCGATTGACTAGAACTCCGAAAGTGTTAGTATCGCATTGCTATTGATGTTGCGGTGATAGCGATAGGCTTTTGCCCGTTTGTGATAACTTCAAGGCAGCTATAACCGCCCAACGATGAACGAGGATTTGTAAGCAGTATGCGTGCTGAACCTTTGCAGATATGCGTTGCATTTTCTCGACAAATACTCTATAGAATTGGCTTGTGACGATGCGCGTGCTTTTACTATGTACTGTTGATATCAAGTATAGCACTATTTAAACTCTAGAAACGCTAGATTTATTTGTTTTATTTGTTTTAATGTGAAAGCAGCCTGAATGTGTGCAGAAAATCATGAATCAATCAATTTTGTCTACTTGTAGGTACATTGGCCTGGGATTTGGCAGTTTATTGCAGATACTGAACAGTCTTGCTATCTGACTTGGAGTCCTAGCGATATCTACGGTTGATACTCTGCAACTAACCTTGTGTTCATATGCTTTTATCATTTTAGCTGCGGGTGGAATGATCATGAAAATGATTGACAACTGTGCAGGCATTGTGGCTTTCAAACATTGCAGATCGAATGTTGTCACCGCTTCTTTGGACGGTAGGTTGTAAGGCTCCTCAAAAGATAAGATTATATTTTGCATTTGTATTAATTCTATCGCACGTTCAAAAACGTATCAATTTCACATTGGTGTGTACACATCTCTAGTTTGTGAGGTCATCCTTGAGCATGCCCTAAATGTTCTGTAGTATGTCTCTGCTTGCGAACTGGCTGGCTATTGCACCCGTGTATCGAAGCATAGTTGGTTTCAGTGGACCGGCACATATTTAAAAATGTGTATATACCAGTTTTCAATTGAGTTGTCTCAGCATTGAGCGTGACGTTTCAGAACACATGTGTTAAGTACATCTTCGGTGTCTAACCGCCCCGTACCATTGACTTACGCAAATTGACATACCGGACGCTTAGTTTGCACCTGCTCAGATTGCAATGCACGAATTTAATTTGTAATTGTGTGTACATGCTAAGTGCTCTCCACTCACTATTGCTATGTCTCTTTCAACCACAGCTCTCGACTTCATGCGACCTATCAAATCAGGAAACCTAGTCACTTTGAGAGGGAAAGCCACTTACGCCAGTCCAAAGTCATTAGAGGTATAATTACTTATATATTTGTGGTTGTACGTTGCTTTAATTATATATGTGGCCACGGTGGTTCGGAAAAATGCATGCTAAACTGATTTCCATTCTAAGCTTTCCACTAACCAAAAAGCATCTGCCACTGTTGTAGCAGAAATTATGTTTATGTAACCTGTCGAGAGTTGCACAGGAGTTGCTTCCTTCGCTTCCAGTTGCTGGCGGCATTATTATAGTTTTTATGGTTTAGCCTTGATATCATTCTAACGCTTCGGACAATTGTAACTAAGATTCTGGTGACCGTTGAAGTGGAAGATTTGATGGCGGGCACGAGGCAACCAGCTAATCAGGCCATCCTCACATTCGTCAAGCTCGACGCTGCTGGCAAAGTGCAACCGGTAATCACTTTGCTTGACACCTCCTATGGATCCGGGTTGTTTTTGTTTTGTTTTTTTTCCTTCTTTTTTGGTTTTGAGATGTAGTGTTACTTTTGCGGTTGTGTGGTGTGCACCTCGTAGCTTCTCGAGTCTGATGCACTCATCGACGATACGGCTGGGGCACAAATGTTGTATACTTACGATTGATTGTCAAATATTGAGAGCATAGATGTGCGGAACAGTTTTGTGTGTATTTAGTCCATTCATTGTGTATTCGAAAATTGCGAGTATAATTATCCAGTCCTCTAGATATATATTACACGGTTGAGTCGATCTCAGTGCCCTGTCGTGCCCTCACATCTCACCACCTAGATTTATAGATAGTTGGTGGAACATTTTGTAATCGTGTTGCGTATGTACTCCGAATCGAGGTTCAGACCGTTAAGCGATCAGGTTTATTCCGTAACTTTTTTTCATCACATAATCGGCGATAAAGCTGGCTAGCAACAATTTTTAAATAGCGCGCATATGGACTTGTCACAAATCCTATGTATTGCTTTTCACTTTCTGTGTAGATGCCTGGATTGATTATCAACACAAGGAAACAGCACGAGCGGATGAGAATTGGGCATGAGAGATATGAAATCAGAAAGCGTATCAGGTCGGCGCAGCCCATCGCACGTCCGTAATACAAAGCAAATAAATATTTAGTGATTGTGGAGACAGTTCAATCGAATTGATATTGCTTGTATAGCTCGCATCGTACCTAAGCTTTACTGTATACCTCACCCTTTCGGTGCTCTTCTAACCTTAGACCGATATCGTTAACATAGAGCCAACCGATTCATAGCTCAATTTGTCGGTACATCTTTGCTCCTCATAGATTGAATGTGATTATCATAAAACAATAAATTCTAAATTTACAAATTGCTTGCTACCTTGTCATATGCCGAGATCGTGAGATGGTAGCATTTCGATTGCGAATTCCTTGCCACATATTTATAATTGGCTTTGCCTGCTGTTTGTGATTTAAATACTTTGAACTTATTTTTATTTCGAAGAAATTTTAACGTGGGTAAAAGCATTATCTTGAAGCCTACTGGTCGCAGCTTTACGGCTGCAGCCTATTCGCAATTTGCGAGAAAGCTCTAGGTCAGAAACCGTAAAGTTCCTGGCACAATGGGTACACGACCAACTTGCCTAACTGCAGATATCACAAAGCTGGTTCCGTGGGTTCGATTCCTAGATTGATGGGAAATTTTATGACTAAGTTGAGAGGCATGGCTGCTGGTAGGTATGCTACCTGTTTCAGGAGAGGCCGAGTGGGGTCACCTAACCGGGACACCCAGGTGAGTATGGTCCAACGCATTATACCGCACAGCTTGCAGCGACTGACAGTATCTCGCCGATACCGAGGGGATTGGCACCCAATGGGTCCAGTTTTGTGATATCTGCAGTTAGGCAAGTTGGTCGAGGGTTTTAGCATTGGCGGCCGGTATCGCCTTTGTACAGCTCGCTCTCTCTTCTGGCCTATCAGTACTCAAACTTCAAGACGTCGCATCTTCAAGCATGGCATCCGCTTGCAAAAATGAAGAGGTTCAGGCCCAAGCATCAGCTGATTCGGAAACGTGTTATCATCTCTTCAAGGATCCGAAGCACCTGAGGAGTGTGACTCTGAAACCAGCGTGCCAGAATCACCAGCAACAACGGAAGCCGCTGCAGTTAGCAAGGAAATTACTTTTATGCAAAAAATCAACACTGCCATCAATATTTTAAATACAACTATAGTTCGGTACAAAGAACGGTATATCAATAAGAACTGACAGCTGTCAAAGTGAACTGACAATTGTTACACAAAGAGTCACATAAGCTCACCCAATAGGTCATGTCCAAAATA